AAAGAATCGATTAATTTCCTCATTAATATTATTATGATTTTTACTGTTACTATTATTGATAGCTGAGGTTGTAGTAATCTACAAAATTATCATTTCTCACAAAAATCATGATTGAAGCTCCGAAAAAATACTTGATTTTTCATTACATTTGAACCAATCCCTATATTTTATAATGAAATTTATGTACATATATATACTCCAAAATTGAATGTCAGTAACGAAATTCTTCGGAACTTGAAAAATGCACAACTCTTAAAGATTCTTAGACATATATAATGTAATTGAATAAACGATAAGATTTCACCATGTTTTCGATTACGTCATCAGTAGTATTATTTAGCGAAATCTAGAATAGAAAATCATTAGAAGGAAAAATAGCATACTAATACCTGTGTTGTTTCGTTTCGTCTATTTCATACGATTCATTTTAGAGATATATCTGCTGGTGAAGAGTTAACATTCAACTATAATTTTGTTGCATTGGGTCAAGAACGTTTGAATTGTCGATGTGGTGCGTCAAATTGTGTTGGTTTTCTTGGTGCACGTTCAGAATCATCAAATAATAATAATGGTAATGGACAAGCTGGTGGCAACTCATCTCATTATGGTGAATCAAATAATTCATCAAATGCCCTAATTAACACAGATATTGGTCGTGGATCATCTAAACGTCATACCGCTCAAACAAATCCACGCTCCAACGATATTGATAAGAGTTATGTGAAAGATGGACGTGATATATGTCCTAGTAAAGTTTCTAATCATAATCTATCTACTACTTCATTGGTGAACAATAACAAAAACGGTTCGATCAATGTGAATAGTCCCTTGAATATGAATAGACGTCACGAAACTAAATGTTTCCGGTCGGTAGTATATATGGGGATATTTTTCTCATTTTAAGTGATAATACTTCATATTCGATTTGTTTCAAACTTTTTTCCTGTCTGTGAAATTGTAGTTTGGATTCTTAAGATGAGTGATTCTCTTTAAAGGAATCCGAAACCACCCTACTTATTGTCATAATAATATTACCACTGAACTCTACAGGTCTCAACCGATCTCTTGTATAAATCATTGCCAAGTAGTAACTGCTGTCATATTATCTAGTGTTCCTTGATTCCTTCCGAACACCAAACACACACAAACTTAATTATTTGGTTTAGTGGCCACATTTCGGCCTTGTCAATAGAATTTAATCAGCTCTAGGGACTAGACAGCATGATTACACTTAATTCTCGATGATTGGTTACTGCAATTCATCGAATACATAATGTAACCATTAGAGCGAAAACATAAGGATTTCACCTTGAAAGTTGCTGCGTTTTTCTTTGCTTACAACTAATACACTGATCACTGTGATCCACTCATCTTGGCGCAGATGAAAACCATACGTGTTCCAAAACAGCTGTAATAACAATTTACGAAAATAAAAATAAACTTGAAACTGACTAAAGAAATTCCTATTATCTTCTTCACCTATCCACCAGCGCTGATTAATTAAAATCGATCTATCAGTATTTTTGGTGTTGCAGTGAGCATGCAATCGTTTGTAGTAATTTGGGAATAATTTAGTCTCTAAAAATATCTAGACTAAATATCAATTTTCTAACAATTACAATAATGTTAGAAACTATTAGTTGAGTGAAACTCTACTTCCCACTTACTCTTATGGTAGTAATGATTTCTCATTTCATAGAAATTATGTTTTAGTGAATGGTTCCTGTTTTTGCGTAGATCATGAACAGCCCAGTTTCACAATCACTCAGTGTTTGATATACAACTTGAATGCTTATTACCCTTAATCAAAACATTCATTCATAATTTTCTGTTTCATATTTTGTTCAAAGTCAAAATCTTTAACTTTGCACAGCTCACTGGTAAACTTTCATGAAGTATTATCGATATGTATGAATATTATTTTATAATTAAAAGTAATAATTATTTCCAGAAATACTTTACTTAATATCAAGATATTTGCTATTCATCTACCTATTTGTCTAGTCGTTGATTAAAAGTTGTTTCCAATGCTATTTTACAGGTGTGGTGAAAAAGACGCTCCTGTTGGAAAGCGATCACTATCATTATTCTGTGAGACATTGAATCTAACGAATTCTTCACATACTAATACTACTGTTATACCATCATCTTCATTGTCGTCGAGTAAATCTCTATGTAAACGTGGACTAAAGCGTGAACTAGAAGATTTAGTTGCATCAGTTGTGAATCATTCACCAAGCAAAAGTCAACATGGACTCAGTTCGCCTACATTGACCAATCGAAACGAAACACAGTCATCGACTTTTATTAGTACTACTAATTCTACGACCACTGAAGATCAAACATCGTACAAGTCATCTGATTTAATTTTATGCAGTAAACACGACTGTTCTAAAGCTTATCATTTATTCTGTCTTGATTTAGATACACCACCTCAAGGTAGGATTAATGTGATTCCCACTTTTTTTACGACAAATATTGTATTGAATCTCTTATTTGCTCTCATCAACTATCCATATTTATTCTTATTATAGGTCAGTGGTTTTGTCCCTGGCATCATTGTGACGCATGCGGTCGTCCTTCTCATATTTTCTGTTCCATATGTCCATCTTCATTTTGTTTGGCCCATGTTGAAGGTAGTATTGTTGTTCTGCCTCCAGTTCTACCAAAACGCAATCGTAAACTATCTAACAATCGATCAGAAAATAATGTTGATCCTATAGAAAATGGAAAATTCTACGCTCTCCTTGCTCGAGTAAGTTTATTTCTTAACATGAATTATATTTTCTTAACCTTAAATTTGAATTTAATTGAGACTCAAAATGCTGATTGTCTGCATCAACATTATTATTATTATATTCCCGTCTTCTTCATATCTGCTAATCACAGAAAACAAGTACTATCTTTTGGAATCAATAAAATAATAGAGTTCCACTTAGACGTAGTGTGGTGCATGCTACTTATCCTGACAGATATAAGTAGTATGTAGCAGCAATCGGAAGTGGAATGCATACCAGCAGAAGACCGAGTTAAAGAGAACAGAGGGTGATTGTAATAACAACAGAATTGGAAGAATCATGTAAAGGATAACTGAAGGAAGATGTGCAAATAATGTATTTCATGTATGGTTTTCATATTTTACGAACGCACTCTGTAATTTTGCATAAAACGTTAAATTTGTTTTCTCCACCTGAGTTCTCGTTTACTACAGTAGCATTTCGTATGTTCCACCTCTCAATATGAATAACTGATACCTTGTAAATGGAGACATATGTTTTCTGAACCTTCATCGTACGAATTAAAAGAATCTCTACCACCCATGTTTAGGGTAAAGTCAAGGGGTAAATTATTTTTGAAAGAAATTCTTCCCCATCAGAATAAACTAGTTTCATGAGGTCAATAAAGTTAGATGCCTCGTTTTGTTAGACTCCTTTCTGATAAAATTGTTTTCATGACAACGGCAAGGTTTACACATATTTTTAATGTGATCTTTTTTTAATCATGACAAGTGGTATAGTGAAAAGGGCAATCATTGGACAAATATAACTCAACACTGAGTCAGCGGTAGTTCGTTTGTTTATTTCATCATTATGAAAGAAACTTACCCAAGAATTAAAATTACTGACCACAGCAAAAAACTAATGAATACTATTGGTAGAAAGTTTAATTGTATCAACAAATAGTCCGGGGTATAAATTGCTCACCATCGGGTAGAAATGTTTTCACGTGAAATTTTTCTAGAACAGTGATAAGAAATCTGCTAAATATGACCAAGATAAACTTGCAATCCCCATAATTGGTACACAACAATGACTAAAACGTCGTAAGAAACATGAAACACGATATGTCTAACCGCTTATCAATCTTTTTCACTACTATGTTTATCTGTAATTCTTTGAAAATCAGTAAAGTTCTCACTCTTCGTTAAATGTATGATATTATATATCTAGCACTTGAGAAATTAAAACGTTTTAGCGATTTTCTTTTCGACTATATCATGCACTATAACTGTATATGATAATAACGTGGTTGCATCTTTTTTCCATTACTCCAGATCGTTTGTATGTTTCACCATGACTTGATAAATAATGTTCACGACCGACCTGTATTAAAGAAAAAGAAGCCTAATCTACTAATGTCATCAACGTCAGATAAATCTGATAAGTGTGAGAAAAATGTTTGTTCTGAAATGCCACAAGAAGATCATTTGGATGGTAATAATGGTAGTCACTCCTCAGGATTAATGGTGACAAGACGTCAAAGCCTTTTGCGTCAGTCAGCAATATCCCAAGCTAAACATTGCAATGATACTAGTACGCCCAATAACAATGATAGTAATAATTCGACTAGTTCGTGTGGTTTAGAAACGAAGCAAAATGACTGTTTTTCAAATTGTGTAAACACAACACCAAATCGAACTATTGAAACCAACTAGAGATTGGTAGATTAATTTCAATGTCTGTTTCTATGTGTATAATTGTATTACTTATTTTTTTTATACAAATAATAAAACTTGCTTGTTTAGAATTTGCTGCTTTGCAAAGCATATTGTGACAGCAGAAATTACAATCAGACTCAATATAATTCCGTGATGGCAACTTCCTTGTTGTATTCTAGGATGGTTTGTTCATTGTTGATTGTATTTTCAACTATCTACAAGCTTATCAACTTCACAGAACTATTGAATTTATAAACAAGTTTCGATTAACGGATGCACATATTGTCTAATTAATAGATAATAATTTGAAGGGGTTTTTGTGGAAATTTAGTATTTGCATAGTTGAAAGCATGAGTCAATTGAGGCTAGACCATCAAGGAAAACTTGGAAACACTGGACGGCCGTTTTGTCTCATTCTGGGACTCCTCAGCACTGCGCATCCTTCGGTTAAGTGCTCCGGCGCAAGACTGGTAGGTCCTGGGTTCGAATCTCGCTAGGCGAGGTCGTGGATGCGCAGTGCTGAGGAGTCCCAGAATGAGACGAAACGGCCGTCCAGTGTTTCCAAGTTTTCCTTGATGGTCTAGCTTCAATTGACTCATGCTTTCAACTATGCAGATAATAATTTGTTTATTTTTATCCAAGCTAAAATATTGCCTTTATATGGGCTAGCTATTGAATAAGAATATCTATTTTCACCTAAGTTGACTACAAATGAATGTCGGTTTCATATTCAAAAGTATTCGTCCTCCTGACTTTAAAATAATACGGTTATTGATAAAAACTCTATATTACATCAAATTCGCATATTTTCTTCCGAAATCTGATTTTTTTGGAGGATACAATGGTTGTTTTTCCGCAGCGTTCAAATGGATAGATAGAAATGATCAAGTTGTTTAAGCTGTCGTTCTTAAATTTACCATCTTCGTTAACATTTATCGAACTTTTCAAAGTGGTTGTAGGGGAAAATCCGTTGTCATGATCAGAATCTAAAATAGCACTCTTCTAATCCTAACGTTGTATGCTTTTAATATCTACCACAGACTTAATGTGTCAAACTTGCATTGAGTATATCGTTTCACTGGGATTGATATTACCAATAAGTTTATGCACATTGATAATTTATAAATTAGCTAGGGTACGGAGAGTTCCTATCCTAACAACAGTATTATCTATGCATTGCGCATTACACTAACTAACGATCTAGTTCATCAGGATCTATGAACCTCCTAAGAAGCATCTAATGATAAATACTAATAGGGAGAAAAGGTTATGATAATCAATTTTACACGTTATACCACTAACAGATTAATATTTTCACAACTTGTCTTCTTTTTACCATTGTTTAGTCGTTTTTTCAAGACAAAAAACTATAAAGCGATTATCATTATTATTTAATATTATAAATGTTATATTGCACATTGTAAACAGAAAAAGTATATGTCATGATAAGTAAGAAAGTAAAAAGAAGACAGTGACGATCAAAAACGCATATCAACTGTTTCCAAATCTAATCATTATTATTAATGAAACAGCAATTAAAATAAATTAAGATATTAAAACAAAAAGAACTACATCAAGAATAAACTACCCATTTACATTTACAAAAGTTCAATATTTGACATATCAATAATAATTATCTATTGAGATTATTTTATTTATACAAAGATGCAAACCATAAATATAAATGAAATGTAGAGAATAAGAAACAAATTGTAAATAGCTGACTGAACAAATGAACAATTCACTATTAATATTTATTTCTCTATCTCTAAATAAAGAAATGATACATTAGAAGATCCCTAATTGTTTTCTAATTCTTTTTGATTGTCAGAAGCCTGCAGAAGAGGAAAAAGAAAGGTTGAATATGAGAGAAAAGGATAAGATAGGAATGTTTTAATTCATTGCTGACTCAACGTAAGTAGGTTTACAACAATCGACATAAACTGTAGGGTAATGTTTTTCTACTAAGAAACGGAGAGAACTAATTGTCTGCTGAAGAAAGACATTGGCATAATTAACTTGAGGCGATCTACGTTTAAATAACTGTAGAGATAAACAAATGAAGAGTAACAACAGAACAATGACCTCAAGGTAAACTTAAACAATTCAGGGGGCAACATCTTCTTTTGAATATTTTTTGCTGACCTGTAATAAATGATAATAAACATCAAAGTATGCATAAATAAGCATAAAAGGATATATTTTATAATTGACAGGTGACATTGAAAATATGAATTAAAGCCGAGAACAATCGTCACTGTCAAATTCGAACAAGTCAAAACTCAAACCCCATATAAATTCAGAATATTGATAGTTGGGTTAGTGGTTTGAAGCTATGCTAGCGGATGGAAATCAACAGTGAGAGCCTTGAAATGGTTATCAAATTTATCTATGCTAATAGTAAAAGCCATACAGAATAAGACGATTGACTCTGATTTTCATCAGGTTTCAAAGTAAGATTTAAAGTAATAACATCAAAGTCGGCTATTATAAAAGTATGAATAAATTCATTCTTACTAGAGTTTACATTAAAGTCGTTCATTAAAACAGTATCTCTAAGAAATTTCGAAAGAGTAAGAAGATAGGATTGGCCTTAAAAATGTGATTTATATGTTCTATATGTTTCGAACACTCTGACTACACCTTTACTTCCCAAGGTATTTCTTGTGAAAGGTCAAGTGATAATTGACAGTTAATTGAAGATAAGGTACAGCATAGAGAGAATTGAAATATGTTACACTGTTCATGGCATTGATATGTTAAGGGCCATCAACGCAAGTTTAAAATGAAAACAAATTGTTCCTGAACGAAAAAATTAGTTTTCTTAATACGCAAGATTTTTACTAATTTAAGGACGTATACCAATAGAACAGATTTTTAACCCCTATGTAGAAGGTTTGAAAGTCTATTCTAATTTGAACGTTACTAGATGTGTTCCAGTTATGAGCCATAATATGAAGGGACCTATCTATCTATTTCCTGTGTTCATCTGAGAATGGCACTGGGAAAGCTTGGGACCATTCCAATATATGTTCAACCACCACCCCCAAGTACATATCTCGGATACTCCCCCCTATATCCGTGTGCACACGCACGCACATGTGAAGGAAGTCGAATGTGTATCGTAATTGTCTGTACAATGTTTGAAGTTGTATAAAATCATAGGTTTTCTCTTTTTAATAACGATCAACTGGGCAACATAACCCCTCCCCAATCATTGTTCTCAGTCTCCAATTGGAAACTATGCTGGCTCAGTCAGTCACAATATAGGACCAGGTACATATATGAATTGGTTCAAGTTGCCACACCTCATTAGCACACCCAGATGAACATGAAATTCATAGTAGTTACTTCAATTGTAGTATTATATATAAGATTGTGTATAACGATATAGCACAAGAAAGAATTAGTTCGTAGGAAGAGAGAGATATAAAGCAATTTTAATATTATCGTTTAAAGGAAAACAAAGAATGAATACACCTACACTATTGTCATCGGTTCTTTTATTTATTTGAACACAAATATTGGTACAAAAGGGCACCGAATAGATATGCGCCAACAAGTCACCTGATCTGTGAATGGGTTGCGATACAGCCCAGTTGCCCAGACCGATTCTGAACCATGTCACTCAGAGTCTCCAACCATAGGTTACGACAGTCGCACGAACCCCAACCAAGTAGTCGGCATCAACCAACATGGCCGCACCCAGTTTCCCCCCAACCATCTCCAACACTAGTCAGGATTGTGTGTCGTGGTAATCGGTGTTTAGGCATACGTGAACAAGTCGCTATCACCATCGAGTAAAATCACCAATGATTTTAAACACTGACAAATCAAATAACTTTAAAGCATACGTTGGACTATCAAAGATAATTATTGATTTTTGATCTGATAATCTATTAACAATCATAATGTATTGTACGCGCGTTAATTATGCTTATGAAAGTTTCCATATTAAAAGGCTTTCGAGTAAATCATTTTTAAAGAACCCTTTACTAACAGTAATTCATTAAAAAGATTGACGGAAGTGTTAACATTTAGCTAGGTGTTGAATTATACTTACCATTTATCCCTGCCACTGACATTGTTTTATGTTGAATTAAATGCATTGTAATCGGCTCAGAGGGCAATTTCAATTCTGAAAATGAATTACACATAAATACATGCTGAACACTTAAAAACAGAGGTGAATCCCAACTAGTAATTTAAATACAACTGTTATGTAGCGATTCCACAGCCAAATCCGTTTGCTTCAGTCTACACAATAGGTATTTTTAGATTATATATAAATGTCTCTAAGCAGTTTTGAAACAGAATCTCCGAAAACTAGGATATTTCAGGAAAGTCATTAGTTCAACCACATAAATCTGCACTTGATGATTTCAACAATAAGATAATTCATTACGAATTATAATTAGTTTGCCATCGGACAAATGACACTCGCTAAGAAGTGGATGGTGTATAATTTTAGTAGACGTAACTACTTGTTCACAATGTGAGTCTGAGAAATATAGGCTTAAAATGGGGTTGCATAATAAGATTGCCTGCTTTTAGTTATGTATAGAGTACAAGTGAGTGCCTTTATCCCCGGGAAATGGGGTTGCTGGGACTAGCAGCTGTAACGGCAACGAACAGTTGTCTAATTGGTTGTAATATTAACTGTGATAAGTGGAGTGGAGAGAAACAGGTAAGAACAAACAAAGGAAGGAAACAAGTAAATCCACTACTATATTAAAATAACCAAATGAGAAGGGATAATAAGAGATAAATTAGGGTACATGTTATTTATATCGGGAAATAAGGTGAAGGTAAGACTGACCAGTACAATAACTCTTTACTATGTGCGCGTGTATTTAACTGCTATTCTAGGTATAACACAGTAACCCATAACTACATACACGATTATGTAGTCTTAAACTGTCTACAGATGTTATTTCATATGGTATGGGAGCGTTCTGGGTAGAACACTCATATGAGATTTCGCTTTACCTATAGCTTTAGGTGAGTTAATTTTCAAAGGTTACTTTGAGGATGCGACTGCATGCTCCAGGTAGAATAACTTAAATCATGTTCTATAACAAGATCAGACCGTTTCTTCTAAAGCCTAACGACAAAACCGGTTAGTGACATCAATACCCGAACGGCTCGTTTATTTTATGTGACTTATTTTGCTGAAGATCTATATGCCAAGCTGGTTAAACCTAACTTAATTCCTTAGTACTAAATCGTAAATAACTCGTTCGTGCTTTATAGTGGATTACAACAGAGCATGACACACGACATTATCAGGAAAAAAACAAGGACAGAACATGACGTAAAGTAGAAGCATTATACTGACAAGTCATAAAATACTCGTGGGGCAACATACCTGACAGTTTGAGGGCGCCAAGCAAAAATCGGCCTTGGAAAATAAGTTTCAAGTGATTTGAATCTGGCCTCTTTCCCAAACCTATGGTATCATTACTAGCACTAAATGACTTACAATCAGGCCAGTCATTGAACAACGAAGAAGTAATTTGTTCAACTGTAGTATCTTGATCATATTTATGCTCAAAGAATGATCCATCCGGCATCAATAACTTCAAGTGCACCTACACAAGGACAAAAAATACAAACATTTAAACTTACTGCCATTGTCACTGCTACTGACACAAAACTATTACAACAAGATTTGAGAGCTATGGAGACTACATTAAGCTTCACTAGACTGTAACCCAGAAACTTGGAATAGCGCCACCCGTATTCTACATAATGGGATATTAAAATCAACAAACCATCTTAACACTATGTGGATACCAAACTACTCAGTAAAGTAAAACTCACATTTTGTAGTTGGTGGCTCACTGCTAACCTTTACTTCTTTATTCCTTTTAGGGTCTTTTGACTCCTAAAGATTTTACTTCTATTTAAGGCTGGTGATGTCCTTTTGAGGTGATATATAAGATCACGAAGGGCATTCAGAATTTAATCAGCAGTTCTGATGTTCTGGCAGCTATTCGTCATCAAATGCATCAATGCGTTGTTTATATGTCCTTTTCGGTCTATGAACTTCTGTGAACACAACTAAACGCCATTGCATCCTACAAGAAACAGAATAACGAATTCAATTCGTTCACATACCATCATCCAGAGGCCTTTCATTGTTGTCTCCACCGGATGCTTTCACAGCTGACAGATTCTCATCACAATTTATCTCAGTGTCGACTGTTTTTAATGCAACATGAATCACAACTGAAGTCGTTTTTTCATTAGCAAGTTGACTGAACGAGAACATGTTATGTTTTTTTCACAAACGCCTTTCACATTTTATTCCACTCTGGTTTCGTATCGATCTGTGACAACCAAGAACCATTTGCAGGTTCGCTGTTGCTCTTCTTCTACGAACACTTTCATCGACTTATACCAAGTTCATCTCATAGGTCAAACGAAGTAACTAGTGACACTGAATGTAAACGCAGAGAGCACGCTACTCACTTGTATGTCGTAAGGTACTTGTGTTTGCCATCAAGCATGTTGGGACACTTATTAAACAATCAACGAAGTTTTCATACATACACTTCAATGGATTTACTGTCTCTACATAATAAGACATATATATGAGAATGTTTCACGTTTTGTTATCGAGCAAGGCGGTAGTTTTTGGGAGATTTATGAAAATACAAGTACAGTATTATGCACAGTCAAACGGGATACTTTACACATATTTGTCAGTAGACTTATCCCAGATACACGAGTTAATGGAGGGGAGAAATCGTCTTTTCTCCTTAATTTAGGCTGTCGTCTCGTTTATTTCTCCGGATTTCGCCTTAATTTCTTTTTTGCTGGTTGCTAAGGGTATATTTAAAAACTAGTTTTTTGTGATAACTGTTTGACCATTCTGCAGTTGATTTGTTTGGTGCACTACCGTGCTGGACAACTTCTGTTTTTCCTAACATTTTGACCTTATTGGTCTCTACGTTAAGTAAATATCCTATTGTTCGTGCCACTTGTTCCGATAACTTGACTGTCGCGAAGAGGTAAAAGTCACATTTTCTATTTGACAGCAACATGTGTTGTATCCAAAAATCCTCAATACTCGTGAAAGTAAATTGACAGGTGAGATTTCGTACGGTCTCGGAATGCTTATGCGATAATTATCTTGCAGTTTCACTTTCGAAGCTAATTTAATCGGCCTAGCTTCATTTTAAGGTATCTAATGACTCTATCGTTCCGGTTTAAGACTGTTCAGATGTTGTAGTGTTGGTTTGATGACGATACACATCTCGATTCATGCAGTAACCGACCTTTGCTTTCTGATGAAGAAATAAGTGAACGAAAAGTGTTGTGCAGTTTAATAACATGAGTGGTTTGAATATACATTTGTGTGAATTCTTTCTTGAAGGAAGAAAGAATAAAATTATCCTCCTTCCAAGCCTTTAACCGATTAGTTGATTTAGCTGCAACTGCCGAACAAACTATATTTCAGGTTCAAAGCAGCTCTCAAACGCAAATGTATAAATGTATGTCTAACAAAATAGCATCATAAAAGAATGAGAATAATAATATCCAAACTAAGGAGTTGGAGAAAAAATGGAATAGAGGAGTTGTGATTAAAGTGCATAAATTGTCACGTAAAAAAACGTAGCGGTAATTTTTACATTAAAAAAAATTATGTTTAAAAAATAAAGCACATGTAGGGCCAAATGTTAGTGCTTGTCAGATGTAAAATTAAGCGAGATAGTGTCCCCAAAGTTAACTTTCATTGTTTTTTATTAGCATCTCTCTTACGTCTTCATAAAGCTCGAGTTGGTGACGGAAACTTTGGAATCTACAGCAACTAGCATGATATTAAGAGAAACTATACTTACCTAGGTGTATCAGTGGCAGGAAAAGGTTGCATTCTTATAAAATGGATTACATCAAAACACCCTTATATGTTAAAACTTGAGCTGGTATTTACTCTTAAAACTGAAAATTTATCACAAACGATGAATGCAGCCGAACTTTCGTAATTAGTAGTAATTATGACTTGTCTTAACTGGCTTTAAACTGGTTCTAAATAAAAATGTCGCTAAAATATAATCTTATGGAAAATAATTATGCCATACTGATTTCCTTTATCTATTGCCATGCCTGTAATATCATAGTTTGCGGATTAATACAGAACAGTAACTAAATACGACTTCAATCTATCTTTGCTTGATGGCTTTTCAATCAAGTTTTTGGCGCGAACAGTTAGAGCTGCTGCCTGGAAGCCTCTAAGTGTCTCGTCAGGCGTCACATTCCATAGATAATCGACACTAGTACTGGAATGACCATCTGCAGCACCTCATTGTTATTGCTAATATTTGTGTGCGTAAACGACTTAATCGGAACTTTTGTCTCCTATGATCAGTATGCCCCGCAGGAAACTGTGATGGAGCCACACACTCTACAGCACGAAGTACTCCAGTGTCGGTAGTCAATTCTCCTTTTATATACAGAAGCCAGCCTAGTGGTTTCAAAACGTCTTCACTTAGATTACGGGACAGATCAGTCGAATTCTAAAGTTAAAAAAGACTCGCATGAAAAGTATGTCTATGTAGAATTATGGTCTGCTTCGTTATCAGTACTGCCCTTATAATAGATGTAAAGTTGTAGATATGTTATGATGTGACGGCCAGTCTATAAGATCTTGTGTGGAAGTCACATCTTTGTCTACAATGACTCATCGTATCGTAACAATTAACAATATGATACTCAGTAATTCTGAAGAACACATTCGGGCTGAAGATAGAATAATATATTTAGTGTGAATAAAAGCAAGTTATACAGAATGATCACATCTGAGAGGTTGAGCCATGCCATCCGACTGAATGCATGAATACCCCCGCATTCATCATTGATGGCCTTCTTTCCGCGTAAGATGTTGAATATCTATTTTTACAGTCATCTCATGTTCAGCTTTGGGGATAGTGCGGTTAGGACCAGTACCACTACACATATACTCCATCGATTTCCCTCTAGAAAGTCTAGTGTAAACGTTATCTGAGACAGCTTTCTCAGCATCAGCAACCGTATGTCTTAAAATAGCCTCTTTCAGAGCCTTCGGAAACGATTGAAGATAGCTGGTATGAGCATTAATGACGAAGGTGACATTGAAGATTAACCATAAAATGAAGATAGAATTCGTTCTTGTCATCACGGGGTTGAACATCGATTATTGTTTTATGGCTTTAGGTACAGGGAAGGAAAAGGTGTCGCGGAGTATGTTTAGCGCCTGGAAGAAATAAACCTATTAATATTTCCAAAGGAATCGCTCATGTCAGCAGAAAAAATCATCTTACTTTAGTTTATAAAATGTTAATTAGATGATGAAGTGTGAGGGCAGATCATATAGATCAACTCTCAGTCCGGAGATGATGCTCTACAGAATCGCTTTTAAAATATTCGTTGGAATCCAGGAGTATGGGTGTAGATCTGTGTTTTATAAATCGATCTCCATCTTAGGATATCACATGGTCCACATAACAGCAGACTTTGGATGCCTCAGCAACAACACAGGAATCTTAGGTAATATTCATTACATATACATGGGTGGGATGTGTGATCAGCCAGCTCCGAATGCCCAGCACCTTGCAGCGGCGTCGAACCAACCTCAAGCACATCTGCTTTTGTTATTCCACTCTTAATTCAGCTAGACAGTAGTATTCGCAACGGGAGTGGATTATCTGCTGTAATTAGCGCAATGAACCGGAAATATGTTGTGACCAATAGAAGCAGAGGTGTTTCGCACTTTTCTCTCACTGTGTGATCAATTCAACACATATCAAACCTATAAGAAAATGTCACTTCCCGAACATCACCTGATGCCGTTGTGGAAACAGTGGGGACGATTGGGGTATTGCGAAAAGAGCGGGCGAACCGTGTAGCTTGTGAGTGTTATGTGGCGAAGAGATTGGAATGAGATTTGATAGTCAGATATGAGCGATTCACATGATGTAGGGCTCAGATAGGCACTGACAATATGGGAAGCAGCTGCTAGATTTGAGAAACGAGGTGTAAGAACCCCGTTAAAGCTGATGGTCAATACAACCGAAAAGGGCTGAAGATCACAAGTTACTGGAAGGCAATTCAAAAGCCAGTACATAGAAAGATGGAGTATTGGGGGTAGAGTAGTAGTAAGGCGTCAATTCGATACCAGCAGTTCTATGCTCATTATACAAGGGATTCAGAGAATTACAGTGCAAATTCAGTCCGAACTGCCCCGTTTGGTAAAAAAGACGTTGGATAAGAGCATAATTATATAGCTACTAAGAGGAAAGCCGGAACAGTGTAATTGTGATTACGGAAGACAAAAATCGATTATACGCAATGATCCATTCCCCGTACCACTGAATGACGAAACCTTGTGGAAATCGGAGAGTGCCTCATGGATTTCAACCTTGGGATTAGCATCAAGCAACCAGCAAGTCGGGGTAGACTCTAAAAAAGTGTCATGATAGCACTTGTTGTTCAGACGGGGTTATAGGTTTAAAATAATACCCTTTGGGCTAACCAACGTTCTTGGAGACCTAGTTACGAGGCATGTATTGAATACTCAGGCGGCATTGTAGTTTTTAGCAGTGTATTAATGAACGTCCCCATCTTTAGCTAGCCCTAAAGTGTCTTCGTGATGTTGTACAAAGATCCAGCCTAACAAATGTCACCAGCGTAAAGAAACAACCTGATTCGGCCGTTTGATCGAACCCGAAAAATGTGATTACCTTAGTAATTTTCCTATTTCAAGC